CTTCCTTTCTCTTTCTTTCTTTCTTTCTTTCTTTCTTTCTTTCTTTCTTTCTTTCTTTCTTTCTTTCTTTCTTTCTTTCTTTCTTTCTTTCATACTATTTTGTTTTTTCCCAATTACATGTAAAGATAGTTTTCAACATTCATTTTTTATAAGATTTTAAGTTCCAAAATTTTCTCCCTCCTTTCCCTCCCCCCCTCCCCAAGATAGCACACAATCTCATAACATGTGCAATCATGTTAAACATATTTCCATATTAGTCATATTGTGAAAGAAGAAATAAAACAAAAGGGGAAAACGATGAGAAAAAAAAATGAAAATAGTATGCCTCTATCTGCATTCAGACTCCATAGTTCTTTCTGTGGATGTAGATAGCATTCTCTATCATGAATCTTTTGGAACTGTCTTGGATCATTGTATTGCTGGGAAGAGCTAAGTCCACCATAGGTGATTGTTGCCCAATGTTGCTGTTACTGTGTACAATGTTCTTCTGGTTCTGCTCACTTCACTCAGCATCAATTCATGTAACTCCAGGTTTTTCTGAAATTCTTATAGCACAACAGTATTCCATTACATTTATATACCACCACTTGTTCAGCCATTCAGCACTGGTCATTTTCTCTGGCTATCCCTCATATGGGGAACATTCTCTCTCCACTTCTGACTACTAACCTACCTGGCTTCCTTTAAGTCCCAATTAAAATCTTACCTTGTACAGGAAACTTTCCTTAACCTCTCTTAATTCCAGTTCATTCCCTCTTTTAAACATTTCCTATTTATTCTGTATATATCTTGCTCTGTATATATTTGTTTGCATGTTGTCTCCCCTATTAGATTGTAAGCTCCTCAAAGGCAAGGACTGTCTTTATCTTCTTTTTGTATCCCCAACTCTTAGCATGGTGCCTGGAATATAGTAGGCACTAAATTAATGTTTAGTGATTAGATTGAATATGAACCCCATCTATAATAAGCTCAACAATTTGTTATCCAGCCTTAGCTTGAAGTGTTACAAGGAGGATGAACCCACTATTTCCCCAGTGGCAAACCATTCTACTTTTTGACATCTTTGATTGATAAGAAGTTTTTCCTTTTATCATACCTAAATGTAACCCTTTTTCACTTCTTCCCATTGCTTTTAGAGGCCCAGTAGAACAAGCCTGTCTCTTCTACATGATAATCCTTCAAATACTGAAAATGTCTCTCATATGCCTAAGTCTTCACTTCTCCAGTCTTTAAATCCCCAGTTCTTTCAACTGATCCTCATAAGGCTCTAACCATCATGGTTGCCTTTTTTTTTATGCTCTCTAGTTTATCTAGATCCTTTCTTAAAATATGGAGCCTTAAGCCATCAACCAGGACACAGTATACCATGATTGCTCCTTTCTGCATTCTGTTCACTATGAATCACCTAATATATAATTCGAGATAGTATTATTAGCTGTTTTTCCTTTCATATCATGCAGTTGACTTATCTTGAGCTTGGAATCCACTAAAGTTTCCAAATCTTTTTCATAGAAACTGTTGCCTAGTCATACACCTCAATCTTGTGAAGTTGACTTTCAGAACCAAAGTGCACATTTTACATTTGTTCTTATTAAATTGTATCTTATTAGATTAGGCTCATCCATCTAGTCTGTCAAGGATTTTTTTGTAGCCTGAATATGTAATTTAATCAATTAATCAACAAGGATTTATTAAGTGCCTACCACATGCCTGACACTGTGATAGGTACTAATGTCTTAGCTTTCCTCCCAGTGTTGCAGATTTGACAAGCATTCACTCCCTTCATCATTTCCCACTCTAAATATGACACCTGTCCCCAGAAGAAAACACCAGCCATGTGTCCTCCACCACTTAAAAAGGACTATTGTCATGGAGAGCATGCAGATGGTGGGGGAAAGCTCTGTGTAGCAATAGCAAATTTAGAGGAAGTTACAGGGTAGGGATTGCTTTACATGACCAAGCATAAAATGTGACTCTTTCTCTGCTGCCAACAAATATTATCAGATTTCTGTCCTTGAAAAACCATCACTTGTCCTTACTAATCCCTTAAGCATGCATCCAATCTTTCTTCCTTTTCATAGTCAACATCTAGAAAAAATGGGTCAGTATTCATTGCCCTCTCACTTCCCACATACTTATCAACCCCCTGGCATTCTGATTGACCTCTGTCCCAATCACTCCACTGAAACAACTCTCTACAAAGTCACTATCATTCTTGTTATTGCTGAGTCTAATGACCTTTTCCCATTCTTCATGATTCTTGACCTTTCTACAGCTTTTTTCTGAATACCCCTTGGGGGTTTTGTGACACTGTTTTTTCCTGGTTCTCTTCTTACCTGTCTGACTGATCCTTCTCTTTCTCCTTTGCAAGATTTTCATACAAGGCCCACCTACTAACTATGAATGTATCCCAAGGTTCTTCTATTTCCCTATGCTCTCAGTGGTCCCACCACCTCCTATGGATTTAACTATCCTATCTATGCTAATGACTCCCAGACCTAAATATCCAGCCTTCATCTCTCTTCTGGACTCTAGTCTCTAAGTGGGGACATCTCCACCTTCATGTTCCATAGCCATCTATAATTCATCATGTTCAAAACAGAATTCATTATCTTTCTCCCTAAAGGCACTCCTCCTATTAACTTCCCGGTTTCTGTCAAGATCAATAATCACTCTTCTTCTCACCAAGATTTGCAATTGAAGAATCATTCTTGACTCTTCATTCTCACTCAACTCACTGAATCCCATACGTTGCCAAATCTTGTTGACTCTACCTCCTCCATTTCTCTCATATCCATCTCAGGTCACAACCACTCTAGGTCTAGACTATTGCAATAGCCTCTTACTTGAACTCCATGCACTAATCTCTCCTCTCTTCAATCTATCCTCTGCACATCCTCCACTCAGCTACCAAATTGATATTCATTAAGTACAAAGTCTGACCAATTAATTCCCCTTCTCAAGAAGCTTCAGTGACTTTCTATTGCCTTTTGGATAAAATCCAAAGTCTTCTGTTTGGCATTCAAAGCCTTTCACAGTCTAGATTGACTTTATCTTTCCAGAGTATTTATATATTACCCCTCTTCATGCATGTCATCCTTTAGCCAAACTGTCTTACTTTTTTTGTGCCCCATACATGACATTCCATCTCTCATCTTCCAGTCAGAAGAGCAATCACTAAGCATTTGTTAAGTGCTTACTCTGTGCCAGGCACTGTGTTAAGCACTGAGGATACAAAGTCACAGCCTTTCTTCTATTCCTGAAAGTCCTTTCAGAACTCTTAGCTGCCTAAGGTGCTCAGTCTGGGTGCTACCTTCTTTAAGCTGCCTTTTCTGATCCCTCCCCTTACTTGGTATTTATTTGTATATAGCCTGTATTGACTTATTTGTGAACTGCACAAAATGTAAGCTCCTCAAGGGCAGGGATTGTCTTGCTTTTTCATTTGTATCCCTAGCAGAGTACAATGCCTGCCACATAGGAGGTGCTTAAGAAGTACATGTTGATTAATTGATTATGACAGGATTTTCCTGGTAATTTAAGTATTTGCAGGTTCAAAAGCTACATCTGGTGAAAGAAGCTTGGTCAGATTTATGAGGAATAGTGAGATTTCTCTCTCCTCATACCCCCTGAGTGCTCCTTTAGAAGATATACAGTAATGGAATAAACCACTGACTAAAAAGGTAGGGTTACTAACATGAGGACATGGGGAAGAGGAAAGATGAAAAGAAAATTCTCCCATTGCCATGGAATCTTAGGTACTCCATGGCTTCATTACCCATTCTGATTTTCTTAGGTTTTGAATTATTACTGTCTACACATACTTCCACACAGGTAGATGATGGGCATATGAGTATTCTTTTCTCAATGGCCCTTTGCTTTCAGGAAATAAGGCTTTATGCTTCTGTCATGACAATTTATTTTGAAAGCAAGGACGATTTTATTTTCCCTTTAAATTTGCATGTCTAGCCTACTCTGCAATTACATGCAAAATGCCATGTTCCTTTTCATTCAAAAAATGTGTCTGATGAGTTTTATTGCTCATGAAAATGAAATGATCCCTTCAGGGAGAACTGTGTGGAACTCAGAGAACAGTGGTGATGGTCCTCAAGCAGCTTCTGAACTAAGCTCTAGTCCTCTTGACCCATATCTGACATTCTGAGGCCATTTTAAGAAAGGAATGATGGCCAAGACTAGGGAGATGATATTCTCAGCTTTAAGTTCTCTACTCAGACCATATCTGGAATATTACATTTCATTCTGGATGCCACATTTGAGGGAGACTGATAAGCTGGAAAGAGACTAGAAAAAGGCAGCCAGGATTGCAAAAGCTTATAAGTTTATAGCAAATAAGAATAGTTTGATGGAACTGGGGATGCTCTGCTGGGAGAATAAATTTGAAGGATACATAACAGATGCTTTCAACTATATGAAGGACTGCTGTATGGAAGAAAGATAAACATTTTATTCTTGAACACAGAAGATAGAACTAGAAGCAATGAATGGAAGACGTAAATTGGCAAATTTAGATTTGGTGACATAGGAAAAAACCTTTTATTAGTTAGGGCCATCCCAAAGTGAAATTACTGGTCTTGGGACATAGTGGGTTCCTTCTCACTGGAGATTCTTCAAGCATAGGCTGCAACTTGACCATGTATAGAGTTCTTTGTAGGGGGAATGGTACGGGTAGCACCAGGTGGCCAATGAAGTCCCTTCCAGCTCTGAGATCCTATGGCAGTCCCAACTTCAGTATTACAGTCCCTTGGAGTTTTGGGATTAATTGTGTGGTAACTTTGATAGAAGATTCAATCAATCAGTGAACACCTATTTACGAAATACTTATCATGTTCCAGGAACTGCACTAGACATTGGGGATACCAGGACAAAAATGAAACTGTTCATACCGTCTAAGGGCTCGCACTGCCTATTGATGTTTCTTTTTCCTCTCTCTCATCAAGTCCTATTGCTCAGTAGTTCTGAAATTTACCTCTGTTTCTTTGCAGACCAGTTCATACCCAGAGAAAGCTACAGTTGATGTGGGATCTACTTGTCAAAAGGTACCCTTGCATCCTCCAAATAATGAACCCCTTTACAACTCTATTGACTTCAGAGAACAAAATTAGGCGGGTTGAGAGAGACAGAGAAAGAAGGGATTTTAGCCCTAGGGAAGCTTGAGCAATTAAAAACAGGCCCTAGTTGTTGTGAATACAACAGATAAACAGATCTGAAATCTTCATGGGGAGAGAAGTAAAAGAAAGGGAGTTAATATAACATAATGTTTCCCTCTGGCTGAGTATCTTGCTTTGCCAAATAGAATAAAAACAAATATTGAATAGATTGGGAGTCAGGGGACCTGGTCTGGAGTTTGCATTCTGACACTTACTACCTCAGTGATTTTGGGCAAGCCACTCCTTAGTCTTCTCATTGGTGGGGTTCCATGATCTCAAAGGGCCCAATCTGACTCTAAATCTTTCAGTCTTTGAGTTTTCATTTAAAACCCTAACAACATGCTCTTTCTTCACAGTTAAAGAAACTCTTGATGAACAGAATCACCAAAATGAACACATTTTTATGGAATCGTTTTTTTTTTTGAGAGAGTATCACGGACCTTTCAAGCTTTACTAGATAAACTGGGCAGAGCTTGCCAAAAGCAGAACCTGGTAGCTGCAGAATATGTACAGTCTCCTCAGAATTGTACCTATTAAGGGAATTTAACTTTAGTGGGTTATAGAATTCAGAGATTTTCCAGAGACTTTTGTTCACACAGGTTTTGCTCAACCTTCTATAAAAGAGGTTGGGAATTCCTGATCAATGTGATAGTTTCTCCCAATCAATTTGATGAGATTATAGAGCATTTGTTTGGAGGTATATAAGGGCACCTGTCTATGGGTTATGGACATGGGAACATTTGACTGGCTGATATGAATTAAGGAGAGGAACTGCTCATCTCCATGGTCTCTAAAAGCAAGATGGTAGAACAGTTCATTCTCTTTTTTGGAATCCTTCACCTTTTCCTTTGAGACTTTCTTTCAGGGTATAGCAAAGACGGTGTGATAGTAGGGAAATAGGAGACTTTTTTTTCTCTACCTCCCCACCTAAGAAATGGAAAGCTTCTGGGAGTTGCATGTACTTTCAGGCTGTCTGAGAGCAACAATCCCAAGACTGGGTTATCCAAGCCATTGAGATGGAAGCAGTGGGTACATTGATAACTCTAGTGAAGAACATGGAAGAAGCATACTACATCAGGAAATCCCCTTCCTTCTCTGGTAAGTCTTATTCATGAGTTCTCAAACTTCGGGTTACCCAAGAGGCAATCCCAAAGAGTGACATTGCCTTTCTCTGGCTAGAAGTTTAGAATGACAATGCTTAAGGAATTCAAAATCCCCTTTTCTCCACCCAAGAATTAATGGTCCATGAACATGGTCCATGAATGTCTGATAGAAACTTTCCCAAAGTTTCTGAGTGGCATCCTATTTAAAGAACAAAACTAGTGAGTTACTTTGACAGCATAAGTCCTGTTGCAAAGGGAAATGTTTGTTTGTTCAGTAGCTCCCAAAGTTTGTTTACCTTTCAGCAGGAACGTAAACCACAGATTAATAGAAGTCTTGAATTTCTGTGTAGGACTATATAAGGAAAAGGGACTTACCAGAATGTTAAAGAGTTGCTCTAATAACAACCCCAAATTCAGTTTCATTCTGACAGAGGAGCTGTAAAATAAAGGCCTTAGATTAGCTAGAGGGCTTCTGAATTTCTTCTTCTGAATTCACAACCTAAATTCTTAGATTGTGCCCAAGGAAGTAGATTTGGTGTGTCACTAGGATTTTTCTCTTGATTCAGATATGTTCCCTTTCCTTTGAGTTTGATGATATCATCATACTCAGTGTCTGTAGGCCATAAGTGCAGGTAGAACTGAAAAGAGACACATAGCAGCACCAGCATGTTAAGGAAAGGTGACCTCTATCAAGACTTTATGGTCTGCTTAATGCTTTCTCAAAGAGGTTTTCTGAGCTTCCTGTTCTACATATGATGTTAATATGTCATTGACCCTCCAGAATCACTAGCCTGGCTTCCATAAAACCTGCTATTAAGTTCTTTCTCTCCTTAAATGATCATGTATGTACTTACCTATTTGCATGTCATATCCTTCCATTAGAAATGTAAGCCCCTGGGAATCATGGACTACTTTTGGCTTGTCTTTCTGGCCCAGGACCTAGCACAGTTTCTGGCACATAACAAGTGTTTAATAAATGCATTCTGGATTAGATTGGATTGATATAGTACTAACTACTAGAAGGTTGTTTCACACAAATGTATACACAAACATTAACATGGTTACATAGTATTGCTGGATGGACAGACATGAAGTCAAAAGAAATGGCTATCTCCAATCTTATCTTCTTTTATTATCTACAATTCAGAGGAATCTGTCACTTTGACATTCTTGACCAGCTCATTAGTTAGAGTAGAGGTGTGATTGTGGAGCCAAATGAAAACAGTTAAATGCTCTAAAACTACAATCTTACCCAATTTATAGACATTGTGCAGGACAGAGATATAACTTGGGTGAGATGATCAGGACCTTGCCCTGGTCTACCAACATCAATAGGATATGTTTTCTCTTCCACTTATGTGGTACCTTATCTTGGGTCACTACCCCAAAGGTCTCATCATTGTAATGCTATGGAGTTTGCCTTTTCCCTTACTCAAATCCCTTAAGCATTCCTACGCCTGCTTTTGGGAATGGAGGTGGGGTAAGGACCAAAGACTGTGCTATCTGGGCACAGCTATTCTTTCTGGGGGATGATCTACCTATTTCTGGTATAAGAGCACATCAGGCAGACTAGCCTCTATACACATTCTTACCCAAACCCAATCTATCAGCTGAGTTTTCCCTAGGTATAAGAATTCCTAGGCAGAGCTCTAGGCTACAGTCCAACCACATTTTAGATTTTCAAGAATGAAACAGAACTTCCTTTCAATTAGCTTCTGATACAACCAAAAAGACAAACCAGGAAGCCTAGTCAAACTTAAAAGGATTTGGCCTTCAAAACTTTAAAAATGAAAATAAAATAATTTGAATCATTCCTTGCCACAAATTACCAGTAAGCCAGCATGGTACCAACCAAGGTGCCTTTCAACAGTAAGGAGACACTAAAGTGGAAGAATTATTTTTCGAAGGTTATATCTAATTCACTTATTAATGTCATCCTCTGAGGTCTCATCATGGCTTAAAAAGGCATCAAATTACAGCAAATTTCACCGAGTCCTACTGAATTGAAAAAGCTTCCAGTATCAGCCTGACAACGCACTTCCTGTCTGCCATCTAAGGATCAGAGGAAAAAAAAAACAGTGACTAAAGGCTCATTACCAAAAGGTTGGCCAGTTTGTGGTGGGGGCACAATAATTCATGAACAATCATTTACTATGACATAGGGAGGTTGTGAACTTCATCAATGGAGAGAATACCAACATTGCTGAAATCACAGTAATTTTGAAGCACTGTACAATTAACTTGGAGCTTATTCTTGAAATTTTTCCTCTGGGAAAGTGGTTTGGAATGATAAGATTGGGTGGAGGGTTTTTTTTTCTCCCTAATTTTCCTTTTTGGCTTTTTAAGTCAAAGGATTAAAAGTCCATGTTACAAAGGGCACCATATTTCATCTGTAACTCCTGGGTAGTGAATGGGTGGTGATGTTCAGGGAGGGGAGCTATTTGTATGCTTACGTGTAGCTGCTTTCTGGGTTGTGGGGACTGAAGCTTCCTTTTTTATCTTGTCATTCCAGTCTCTCATCACCATTTTACAGCCTTCATTCCCAAAGGGTTTTCCCTTAGATACTTTAAGACAACTGATCAAAATCAAAGGAGGAAAAAAATTTTTAATGCACTTATTTTTTTTTTAAGAAGAAATTTCAAGCCTCGTAACTCAGTGCCACAAAACCTGTTTTTAGAAAAACAGCTTTCTACAATGTTTTTTAAGCCCTTCCATGTCTGGGGCTTTTCTCCAGACTTCAGTTCTATAATTGGATTGCCATCTTGTCATTTCTACTTTTATGCCATGAAGATTTTGCCTTTTCCTTCTTCAGAGCAAAAATACAACAACAGAAAAGACTGAAGTCAAGTGGCCACTGGGCATATTTCTGACTTATTCTGTGTGTGTGTGTGTGTGTGTGTGTGTGTGTGTGTGTGTGTGTGTGTGAAAGTGGGGAGAGGCAGGTGGGTGGTGGTGTTGTTGGCATATGTTAAGAGAACCAGATCTTTTAACTGGGTGTTTGGGGCTAGAGGAAGCCATTGGGGGACAGAGGGAGTGGGAAGAAGGAAAGAAGCTCTCTCTCCTGGCCCACAGGACACCAGCCTGGAATGCCAGCATTGCAAGTAAGTAGGTGTGAGCATAGCCCCTAAAACAGTTAATTTCCAAGATAGGTCCAGGCCAGGCCAAGCAAAGCATAGGCTAAAGGACTTCTGTAGAGTAACTCCAGAGTTACCCAGCACCGGCAACCTGAGGGGGAAATATGTTCATCTCAAGGTCTTCTTGGAGAGGCCACACAACTAAATGAGCTAGATTGCCTAGAGATTACTTAAAGAGATTACTCAAGACCACTCTTGAATGGCACCACTGAAGTCCAATTAAAGCCATGCAGATTGCTGACTCATCATTTCTTTAGCCTCGTCTAATGGGGAAACCATGGAGTCAGGAATCCAAAGACCCACAAATTCACTTGATATGATGTAGGCATCTATGCAAAGGTTCTTTTTTTTAAAAAAAAAATTTAAATTAATTTTTTAAATTTATGGAATAAAACAAGCATTTCCATAGTATAGTACAATAAAAAAAGATGATTGTACATGAAACTGCAAATCTACTATGCATAACTTGCTATTCCTTTCAAATATATAACATAATGTTTATTTCTTTTTTCTTCCCTCCCTCCACCATGCCCTAGAGATGGCTACCATTAGACATAATATATGTGTGTGTGTGTGTGTGTGTGTGTGTGTGTGTGTATATATATATATATATAATATATAATTATTCTATACATACTTTTATTTATCAGTTCTTTCTCTGGATGCAGATAGAATCTTTCTTGATATGTCCTTTATAGTTAATCTGGTTACTTATAATACACAAAATGATTTTTTTGCTCAAAGATGCTCTTAAAACAAAAGTGCTGTTACTGTATACAATGTTCTCTTGGTTCTGCTCATTTTGCTCTAAATTATTTTAAAAAATCATTGAGCTCATCATTTCTTATAGTACAGTACTATTCCATCACAATCATATGCCACAACTTGCTCAGCTGTTCCCCAATTGATGGGTAGCCCTGAGATGTCCAGTTCTTTGCCACCAAAAAGAGAGCTGCTATAAACATTTTAGAACTTATAGGTTCTTTTCCTTTTTCCATAATCATCTTTGGAAGTAGACCAAATAGTGGTATTGCTAGATCAAAGGGTATAGGTAGTTTAATAACTCTTTGGGTATAATTCCAGACTGTTCTCCAAAGTGATTGGATCATTTCACAATTCCACCAATAATAAATTAGTGTTCCAAATTTTCTATACCCTTTCCAACATTTGTCACTTTTATCTTCTACCATTTTACCCAATATGGTAGGTGTAAAATTATTCTTAAGGTTGTTTTAATCTGCATTTCTCTAACCAATAATGATTTAGAGCATTTTTTTAATATCACTATAAATTATTTTGATTTTTTACATTGGAAACTGCCTGTTCATATCTTTTGACCATTTATCAATTGGGCAATGACTCACATTCTTATAACTTTGACAAAGTTCTTTATATTTTTTATATTCAAGATCTTTATCTGATAAACTGTCTGTAAAAATCTCCCCTTCCCAATTTTCTGCTTTCCTTCTAATCTTGGCTATATTTGTTTTATTCGTATTAAGTTTAATGTAATCAAAATTATCCATTTTATACCTGATTTTGCTCTCTATCTCTTGTTTATTAATAAATTCTTCACCTATCCATAAGTCTGATAAATAATATATTTCATGTTCTAATTTTCTTGTAAAATCTCTTTTTATATTTAGGTCATGTGTCCCTTTTGACTTTATCTTGGTAAATGGTGTGAGGTATTGGTCCATGCTCAGTTTCTTATGCAGGGGTTCTTAATTTTTGTACCATGGAATCCCTTTGGTAGTATGGTTAAGCCTATGGATCATTTTTCTCAGAATGATTTTTTTAATGCATAAAAATAAAACACATAGGATTACAAAAGAAACAATACTGAAATGTAATTACCCACATTAAAAAAAAAGTTGATAAAGGTCTGGCTAAGAATTCCTAGATAAGGGGCAGCTAGGTGGCTCAGTGGATAGAGTACCGGCCCAGAAGTCAGGAACACCTGAGTTCAAATCCGGCCTCAGACCAAACACTTGACACTTACTAGCTGTGCAACCCTGGGCAAGTCACTTAACCCCAATTGCCTAAAAATAAAAAAAAAATTCCTGGATAGAGGAAAGCATCTTGGATTTGGAGTCAGAAGTAGATTTAAATCCCATTTCATTTATAACATTGATGGACAATTAACCATCACCTCTTGGAGCCTTGGTTTTCTCCTCTGGCAAATGACGGTTGATGGATTTTAACCTCTTCTGGTTTCAGCTTCATTATTGGTGATGCTGTGATAATGACGTCAATGTTGTTGTTGTTTACAACACATTTTATAGACATCTCATGTTATCTATTCTCACAGCTCTAGGAGGTAGTGTGAGAGATGGTATATCATATCCATTTTACAGATGAGAAAATGAAAGCTCTGAGAGGTTAATTGGTTTGCCTGTAGTCACACAGCATCCTAGCTCTGTCTTTATTCTAAGGCCAGTGATGGATTCCACAACTCCAAGCTGCCTCCTATGAAAAGTAGAAAGAGATCAACAATAGTGCAGGCTTGGAATAGCAGATAGGGAGCCTGCCACGGTGTCAGCAAGACGTGAGCTTAAATCCCATCTCTGATCTGTAACCACTGTGGGACACTGAGTAAGTCACTTAACATCTCAGACCACATCTCCAACCTCTGTTCAGCAGCCTTCTTCCACCTTGACAAGGTCTCTCGGCCTCTTCCTCTCTTTGGTAAGTTCCACCCTAATGCTCCATTTGAACACGCATCCACATTAGCCACCTTGTTCTCCTCAAACCTAGACCAGCTATGACACCTCAAACCACCCCTCCATGTTGCCCTAGTTCTGTACCTCCTTCCCCCCACCCTGTTGTTCAACTCCCTTTTATGTGTTGTCTTTCTCCACTAGAATGTAAGCTCCTGGAGGGTAGGGACTGCCTAAATACTGAATTTTCAGCACTTAGCATAGTGCCTAGCACATAGAAAATGTTTAAACGATTCCCTCCTTCCTCTCACTCTCCCTCTGTCTCTATCCATCCCTACTTCTCTCCCTCTCTCCGTCTCCCTGTCTGTCTCGATGTCTGCGTGACTATCTCTCACACACACATAAACAACAGTTGTCTATATGTATTGGCAGAGGAGTCACCTAATCTGCACTGCCCTGTACTTTGAAATCTAAAGTTTTAAACAAACAAACAAACAAACAAAAACAAACCAAAAAAAGCCCTCTCACACACGAAAATCCCCCAATCCTTGCATAATGGTTGTAAGGCAATCCCTGTATGAGCTCTAAAGTGTGACATGTGAACTATTATTAAAAGTAGAGGATAGCCATGAGGGAAAAACTTTGAAAAGTAAAAAAGATTAGAACTGCAAGGCATTATTGTTATTATTAGGGGCTTCACATCTCATTACCCTCCTGACTACTAATGAGTTCTGATAGCTTGTGTCTTTGATTTTCTTTCCTTGTAGCAGTAAGATCAACCCCCTCCAGAGAGCCTTTGTAAAACTTGGGTAGTGCATCTAAGCTTCCCTTCCTTCATCCTTAAATTAGGCCTTTGACACTCCTCCAGGGACACTGGAATATTTTGCCAGTGGGACCTTCAAAAGTTTTAAAGGAGAAGTGCTTTGGGGGAGAAGGCTGAGGGAGCACAGAGTGACAGGAAGGTGCTGGTGGTAGAGGCTGCTGTTTTTTTAATCCTATGTCTGAGTTAAAAACAGCAGCTGTATCATTTTACTCACTTGGGAACAACATTCTAATTAGCTGCAGTATTTGTTAAGCCTTGAAGATCAAGAGCTCAGGCCTGGTTGCCTCAGTGGAATTCAATTCAATCCAATCCAAGCCAAACCAATCTAATACAATCTATTCCAATCCAAACCAAACCCATTGACAATTAATAAATCCTTATGTGTGCTAGATACTGAATCAGCTTCTGGGGATTCGAAAACAAAAATGAAACGTTTCCTACCTTCAAGGAGTATACAATCTCCTGGATGGACACGAGATGCATAGGGATAAGCAAATATAAAGCTGATGCGTAACACATAGGACCATTTACAAAGGAATATCTACTTCTAGAAGTATAATAATCAATACGCAAATTTACTCTCCCTAACATGTGGTAGATATAATACCCCTCCCCCTTGTACCTCCTCAGTCTCTGGGGAGGGGAAGAGGATTAAGTTTATAGTTTATCTTAGTTCTTGTGCAGAGAGCACAGTCCCAGTTACAAGTCTAAAACAACAGAAAGCTTGAGTCCCAGGCACCCTGGCTTTTCAAGGCTTCCATGCTGGGCTGGCTGTCTGCCTCCCTTCCACTACAATCCTGCTCACCATGGCTTGTACTCCCTGGTCCGTGAGGGTCACTCCTAATACCTGAAACTGAGGACAAAAAACACAAATCAGAAACAAACACCTCCCAGGCCCATATAGGAGGGATTCAGCAGGCTCCATATTAGGCAAAGTGAGTATGTTCAAAGTGCCCCTCAACGGTGTCTCCCTGGTAGAACCGGGTATGCCTAGAAGCCCAGGTTACACACAAAATCATTTCAGGAGGGAGAGAATGCTAACACCTAGTGGGATCGGAAAGCTTCAAGTAAGAAGTGGCCCTCAGA